AGTTAGAGGTTGAATAATGGAATGGATTTCCTCTTAGTAGGGTTAAAATAAATAGTCAATTGATTTATTAATAAACAAAATGACAATATTTACATTAGATCAGCTGCTTGTCTGATTCGATTAGATTGACTAGATTGACAGCCCTCCAAATAAGGTCAATGACCGGTACCAACTTAATTTAAATTAGTCCCATGCCCAACTACCATCAAAATTCCCCAGAACCCTTCACCTTGGAGTTTTGACACAACCTTTTTAAAGGAAATTGAAGGGACAAGCAGAGGTAATTCAGGGAAAATTCCTTAGGCACATTTTGCCGATTTCTGAGTTGTCCAGTTTTCACTCATAAATCTAGGGTGGCTAATCTGTTATTTTAGCACCAAAGCGCCTTGCGCGGATTTCTTTGTGAGCCGAAAAAGAGCAACGTGATCAACGTTCCTAAAGGCCAAAGTATTTTGGTAAGTGGTTTTTCTCATTCGTCTTCGCTGTGTTTCTCTATTGCCTATGTAAAAGCATAGTTTTCTATTAATTTTATGGTTAAATTCCGAATATTGCACATACCTACCTATCGTTTCACGCCCAGTCTCATAACGTCCATTTGTTTCAGGCCTTATTTATTCGTCACGCTTTAGTCCTTAACTTTGAGTGAAGAGTTAACCATTGAGCTTACTGTATATTTCAAGTCGTACCTCTATCTTCAGCCTCCTCTAGACAATTGGAAGCTTTTAGTGACTTCTAGTCACTAAACTTCAGTGCCCAGGGCCAGTTGCTTCTTGTTGCAGCCCTGATCCAGTCCCAGGCCATCGGAAACACAGGAAGATATCAATCCAATCCTTCAGGTCGCACTGCAACTGACACCTCCAACACATACATACATACATACATACATACATACATACATACATACATACATACATACATACATACATACATACATACATACATACATACATATATACATACATACATACATACATACATACATACATACATACATACATACATACATACATACATACATACATACATACATACATACATACATACATACATACATACATACATACATACATACATACATACATACATACATACATACATACATACATACATACATACATACATACATACATACATACATACATACATACATACATACATACATACATACATACATACATAAATACATACACACATACATCCACTCCTTTAGGTTCCCCTCAAAAGATTAGGGACTACTCAGGTTTGATAAGTGTGTTGTATTGTCTCAATATCTGGAACCTATCAAACCTTACCAACCCCTTGTTGGAATAAATCCCCACAGCGACGCAGTTTTATACTACAATATTAAAGCCCTTCAGGTTATGTGTTGTTATTTCAATGTTAATTAATTATTTATATTACCTATATTATCCCATAATCTTAAATTTGCCCTTCAGGTTACGTATTGTTACTTCAACTTTAATTAATGATCTGTATCTCTCTAATATCCCATAAATACATACTGCACTGAATACAGGAAAATACTTGTACACTGGGGTTAAATGGCAATTTACGAAGGTAATGCATTTAGTAAGCTTGTCTATTAATTTATATTTCAGGTATTATTGCTGTTATAAGTGTTATACAATACTCTTTAATTTATTTAGGGACTCAAATTGAGTTAAAATTATTGTAAATACTATTTTTAGAACGTAAGGTTAGGTATAATAATTTTCAGTGTTCCAGGGCGTTCGGAAAACCCATTCAGAATCTGCTCTAGAGTCAAACCTGTTTTGGTTCTAATTAAAAACCCGTACCTGATTGTAGCAAAGCGTTTTACTTCTGTCCTTCCTTCTTGTTTACTTTTATATTTCAGATTGTGCTGCTAAAGGTCCGTAGAAGTTTCCTGCTGTCGTTATATCGGTTGACTTCGTGTACTGCAGGAAAAAGCAGGTGGCGCTCTATATTTAATTATTTAATTGATCCACACCCCTCTCCGCATTGGAAGCTAGTCGGCAACCCTTCACACGAAGTCCCGTTTCTAGATTTTAGCCACCGACCAACCCTCCCTTTCTATTTTTTTTTTGTTTTAGTTACCCATTCTCATTCACTGTCTCACTTCCTCAAATTTTATTATTTACTTTTCAATCGCGTTTTGCGGGTAACAATATGAAACACCGTTCTAACATTATCGCAGATGCCATATTAATTCACCACGAAAACAATACGATGAAACTGAACACAAACAGTAAGTAGGAATTTAACGTGTACTACTCAGCACAGGCCCGTTCAGTTATCGATACTTGTCAGATAGATAGGCGAGTTCAGCACGGATGACGTCCAAAATCAAAATAAAAAGAGGTTTATTTTTGAAAAATAATTATGAAAATAGGATACAATGAAAAAATAATTCAGGGGCACAGTAGACTGGGAGTGCACGTCCACGAAAGAGACGAGGATAAAAGATGTTTATCCCATGCTTGGTTTAAATTATGTTCGGACGGGAAGAAATTTTTGACAAATTTAATATTTTTTTTTTTTGTATCTTTGAACAACTGTATCTCGATAACTATTTATTACGTTGAGCAGCTAAATTTGAAGGAAATTAGATTTTCTTTAACTCTATAAATAGGTGTATTCCGCTAAAAACGCATGGTTTAGAAGTTATAGGCAAAAAACTGAAAAAGTTCGAAAATTTCTAGGTATTTCGGGTCCTCGAGGTCGAAAACTCAGATTCTACTCCACAGACTATCCACAAACGACATGCCAAAATATCATCAACTCCGGAATACTTTCCAGCTACCCCCTGCTGGTCTATATAAAGATAGTGTTCCCTTTGTCAAAATCACTTCCTGAATTTCCAGACTATTTCTTATCTCGGCATATTTCCTGTCTAATGCCTTTACTCCATAAGAATCGGTCAGGAAGGCATTGGGACGCATTGAGAAAAAAAAATCAGTTCATTGACCTGAATTTTCCAATGAGACAAAACTTAATTATTTCTAAACCATTATAGTCTCTAATTTATAGCCATTTGAAATCTACCTTCTAATTACCATAGTATTTCAAATTAGGAATAATAAGGCCATTAAAATAGTTCAAAACGTAATAATCCGACTACTATCAAATAAATTCCTTTATGCCAATTATAAGGTTAGGCCTTAAAGTTTAGCGCAATTTATGGGCTTATTCTCTTTTTGAGATATTTATAGACAGATTCTTATATGTGAGAACCGAAAGCCGACTGGTTGTCGGTTATGCGACCAGCAGGTATTATCTTCACTGGGTTCTCCCATTATGCTGTTGGTGTGCTGATAAAAGCTACGCCAACAGTAGTAATTATTTTCGCAATGCTCCATTAGGTAATCTTGTCTCTTTACTAGACAGGTTCTGATATACTTTTGATAGGTTCCGTCATGTTATCTCCTTGTCTATGTAACGGTTGGCAAATTGATATCCATTTTGAATAATCACCAGAGTTTGCTTCAAGAAGTTGAACCTATTAATTAAGCTTTCATGAAATGAAGTGACATGAAATAAAATCACAGGACAGAACAGCTACAGAAAACGAGGCAAATGAAAACGATAATGTACAGATAGAAATTAAATAATTTAAAATCGTAGATTATTCTTATTTATAAGAAAAGGCTTTTTTCAAAAACTGATTCTCAACGCAGCTACTGACAGTTATAGTCTTTTTGAAGTCAGTTAAAACAAGGTGAACATAAATCCCAACGTAGCTGACTGGTGATTGAATACTTTCATAAGAAATGCACTGCCACTGCTCAGCCATCAGTTGCATTTTATTTTTATCTGGTTTCAATTGACCCTAAAAAGACTATACCAAGCTCTCATATAAAAATGTTCGCCAGTAAAGGACATAGTCTTGAAATAATTTACATACCTACTGAAATTGCTACTTTTTTAAAATTTAAATGTCCTGGTTTCAACAGTTCACTGTAATTCAACGAACAAATAAGCTCATTCATTAAAAATCAACCTACAAAAATTCAGCGGAAACCCAGTCAAGAAGCTCATGTAAAGACTTATCTAAATGAAATCGGTAGTTAGTAAGTCAAAATGCCATAATAAAGCAAAACGCCACGTCGAAACCGAACTGGCTTTAGATCAGGAGAGTTGGCCGGTACGTGCCCACACTTTTCAGATTTTGATCTTACTAAATTAAATCACAGCCAAAGCCTGACATAGGGGGGCCTCAAGAGATGATCGTGATACCAGCTTTGTGGGGATTTATTTTCAATTAATATTGGATTTATTGATTAAAAGTTTTTTTTGTTCTTCGTTTTGTTTGTATTTGATTAAATTTAACAGTTTTTTTATATAGAAATTCTATTTTAGTTGTGGAATTCCATCAGCTTCCTGGTCCACATCAATTATTCCATGTCAAACTAAGAAAAAAAGGGTACTAATAAATAAACACAATTCCTTTTTTGGTACTATTGTATTAAACAGTACATGCCGTCATGACGAGACCGCTGCAACAACAACAATGTCAAATACTAACCACTAGAATATTTCACAATAAGTATTCCAATGCACTAATAGTGAAATTACCGAAAGACTTAAAAGCTCTTCTTCAAGGAAGAGAGGCATTCGAATAGCGCTAAAATATTAACTTATCGCATTGGTGGCAGTCATAAAATTTCTCGCTAATAAAATGGCGATCATAAAATCGTTTTTAACGACAATTTAATTTTAGTATCGACTTAAATGGTTATCAATGTGAAAAGGCACGAATGTAAATTAAATGGGAAATTGTTTTTTACGGTATATTTGGAAAGTTCTGTTCTCACCGGCGGCAGGCGTTAAATGAATATTTTGTTGACGAAATTACTTCTCGAAAAGCCATAACACAATGCTAAGGATTTATGTTCGTGGGTTTGGATGGGACTTCTGGTTTACTGACATCAGCCCATAATATATAAAGGTTCTGTTTTATATCAGGATCTTCAAGTGACAGTGGAAAGCAAGAGTTTTAACATGTTTGAAATTTGTTTCAGGATAGTTTACGGTGTTTTCAGTTTGGGAGCAGAAGTGTTCTGCTCAAGGATACCTGGATTAACTTCAAAACAAAGGGAAATGTGCAGATCATCACCAGGTAAAAGATTTTCTTAAATACTATATTTCTAAATTATTTAACAAAGTAGGTAGCTCAATCATGCTTTATGTAAAAATTCACGCCATGGCCAAATTTTTTCTTGAAATGTCCGCGCTGGAAATTATGTTTTATGTTATTATATTGCTAGATACTTTCTATATATCGTAAACTCGTGGTTCCTATTCCGGCAATCCTGTGGTTCGTGGTTCATTGGCCACCTCTCATTAGTACCTTATGACCAGACTAGCTTCATTTGCGTTTTTTGATGATATTATTGACGCCAGTTCTTCTACGCAATTCCTCGATCTTTCTATATTTATTTGCATTATTTCAAGCACCTTAGGGCATGTTCAGCTCTGGGTGCGCATAATTCTTAAAACGTTTGGAATTGAATATCAGCTTTATGCTTAAGAATATAGAAAACCTTCACAACAACGTTCTGTTGGTATTTTGTTGAAAATTTACGACCAAATCTGGCGTATCAGCGGTCGATTTTACATTCTGGAAAAGCTGGGCTGGGACTCTGTAATGAATAGAGATATTTTCTCTATCTCTATTGACGTCCCCTCTCTATTGATTTCGGAAAGAGAGAAGAAGACAGCAAGTGCCATAGCGATAGGGATAACGATCTTTATCCTTTACAGAGTCCCAGCCCTGACAGACCAGCAGAATCAATAAAAGCCTGGTACCAGAAATCGGCTCTCGATTATGATTTAGGTTTCGTAAATATTGGTACCAAATCCTTTCCGGAATCCTGCTACTCTTGGTAAGATTGATTAATTCAATATACGGCAGCAAGGCAAGGTTAAGTGATTCCCTGACACTGCAGCTAGTTAGCTTGCCTATTGTATCCCTTGCTGTGTAAATTTCTGCTAAAATAGGACAGGCTCCTCCTCCAGAAGGTGCCGAATGACGGCTGAGTCCTCGTCGCAGAGTCTACAGATGCGGGTTTATCTTGGTAAATAGGTACCCATCTTTTGTAAGTGTTTTCTCAGTGTACAGTGGCCGGTTAACAGTCCTGTCACAATTCTGATCTGATTTCTGGTGAGCTTTAGGATCTCGGAAGCCAATCTTGCCGTGGGATATTTTACCATTGCCTTAATGTAGTGTTGCCTCGGTGTTGGATATCAGTGGTTTTTGTGTTCCTCTCGGGTCCACTTTTCTAAGCAGCCACGTATCGAGGTTTTTGATATTTTGAGTACGGGTTCAGGGACTGCCTTTCTGATCCCTGCTTGGTAAGGAATCCGCGTTTTCATTGCCGGCAACACCCGTGTGCCCCGGCACCCACGCAAGATTTACCTTATTATAGCTGGCTATAGGGTTAAAAGGGGTTGCAGGCAGTCCCACATTAATTTTGGGTTTATCTGTTGGCATGCTAGAGCTTTAATAGCTGCGTGGCTCAGAAAAGATCGTGATATCCTTATGAACTTATCCCCTTCTCAGATTTTCCCGCAGACATGTCTCAATTGCATGTAATTTGCCTTGGAATACGGTGGTGAGCTTCCCAAGCCATGCCATTTTGCTCTTGGGGATAGGCCATATACTCCGGCACCGGTTCCCTTGTCGGTTTTGAAGCCATCAGTATACCATACCAACTTTCCATTTTGGCTAGTGAGTTTTCTGTTCTGTTTTCCAAATTAATCTGGGTTTGGAACGGTTTGTGAGTGTTTATTCTCGGGGTCCTGTAATCACTTCTCATTAGTTCTCATCTCAAACAGTGAGTTTGAAATAATCTTTGTTATCCTGGTATGTCCCGATGTTCGTTCTGGCTACAATTGAGTCTCTAAGCCCCCATTCATTGTACCTTTTTATGCAGAGAAAAGTCAATATTTGAAGTATGGATAGCTCCATTATTACTTTGCTCTGTTAGACTTTTGGCTACCAAACTATTGATCCGTAGATTATTCTGGGTCTCACCATTACTGTATAGATCTAATATACTGTGTGGGGTAGAAAAGCCCATGTTTTTTCCACTGTTCTTTTGGTGGCTATTAGCAACATTTTACCAAGGTTGCTTGACAGGCATAGGTTGCCTGAATAACTTTTATGACATCCACCGCCGAATATAACCAGGGTTTCGTGGTCCGAAAGTAATCAAATTACTCTGGTTCCTGGAAAAGTGGTTACTTTTGGACCTTGGTTTCCTGAAGACTGGTTAACCAAATGTCAAAATAGTTACCGGCAATCAAATGTCGGTTCTTTTGGTTTTATCTGTAAATTTTGTCAATTATTTTTTATTTCATATACGCATTTCCCAAGTAACCAGAATTTTCAGTAACTATCTGTCAACCGATTTGGTTACTCTGGTTATATTCGGACCATGGCCTCAATATACGCGTTCCAGGTTAGTTTGCCATCCCATCCAGTATAATTCCTAGCCATTTGACTTCCCGGATGATTGTATTTGCTTTCCGAAGAAAGTGGGAGGGACTAGATCGTCTAGTTTTCTTCTTTTCGTGAAGGGGACCATTGCTCGAGTTTATTGCATTGTATTTTTTCATAAGTTATGATCTCTTTCGCTGTATCCCAGTTCTCTTTAGTAGTCTTGATTTTCTGATTACTGTGAATTGGTGAGTTTCTTTCCGTTTCGATTTCGATTGATTTTGGCAGGTGAGTGTGCAGTGGGATCTCCAGAGTCTCTCTTGCAGAATCTGTGTAGGCGCCATTTGGGTCTCATATAGAACCTGGTTTCGGGAAAATAAAGGAGGGGGTATTGCAGGAGGCTAGAGGGTTAAAAGAGGGGGCGTAATTTTGTAAGGAAAATCGAGATTTTGGGCGATTTTTGCACAAAACTCCATCGGAAGAATGAAAATTTACGTCGGTAGCAAGAAACGCATAATTTGCTCCAGTGGCGGGATTGAAGAAGTATATTTTGGGGTAACATAAAAAAAAATCGAATATTCCATAATATGTTATCCCCAGGGGCTACTCGTAAATTTCCCTTCATTCTACTCAAAATCGATGTACTTTTCAACCCTGTTCGAGGCTTGTATGCGAAAATGGAGGACCTAAATCTGTCAGTATCTGACGGTCTATATTGTGTCGATATATTTCTCCTATTCGATTATAACTCCTTTCTTTTGAAATAGAATCACGAGAAAATTGTGCTATTTTTCTGGAATACAACTATAGATAGTTGGAGACTTACGCTATTTGGAGCCAGTGTTGCCCTAGTTCCATTGCACCAGCTATAACACTGTCTTCATCTAAGACTGTATTTTGATTTTCCAAAGGCAAATTCCATGTCTCAATAGGTCCAAGGTAGGGCCATGCAATGCTACAATGAAGTCATCGATGTCATCAGAGCTTCAATCATTAGCCTTCACTATGTAGTTTGAATTCAAGCCACCTGTCAAACTTTTTCTTTTATTCTGAACGCTATCCATTTCTTGGCGAGCAATTCCAACTTCGTGACGAACATTTTCAACTTCCTGATGAACGGTTTCAACTTCTTCCATTGCATTCTTGAACTTATTATCTTGCCCTGCTAGGAGTCCCTCGATTCTAGTTCATTTCTTAGAGATTACAGTTTTTTTCCATTCTCTCTGAAAGCTCTGAAGCTGGTTCGTTTGTTCTCCAATTTTCTTGTTGTTGTAACAGTGCTAGTAGTAAAACAACACCAACATGGGACCACTTTCAAGGCCATTCGTTGCGGATGGCCTTTGTCCATCAGAAGGTGAGAGTCGTCGGCAATGAACAGAGGCTGCTGAAGAAGTCTTCGTGAGCATCGTCGTCGACATTGACTAGAGGCTACTGAAGAAGATGACTATGGGGTTGGAGGGATGGCGAAGAAAGTGACGTCAGTGACACCAGAGGTTGCTGAAGAAGTCACTTGGCTAAAGCATTGCAGGGATGGTTAAAGAAGTAACGTCAGTGACACCAGAGGCTGCTGAAGAAGTCACTGAGGTCACTTTTTCAGCCATCTCTCCAACCCCATAGTCATCTTCTTCAGCAGCCTCCTGGTCATTGCCGACGAATCTCACCTTCTTCAGCGAAGTAATGGTCACTCCTGATGAACACAGGCTATCCGCAACGAATGGCCTTGGAAGTGGTCCCATGGTGGTGTTGTTTTACTACTAGTACTGTAAGTCTTTGACTTCCTCTTGTTTGTCCATCTGTCTTCAGGCTTCCGACTCTTTTTGTCTTTCTCTTCGAGCTTCTCCTTCTTGTGTTCGTTGTTTTTCGTGAAGTCCACGAGCATTAGATTACCTTGCTTCTTTTCGGCGGGTTGCTGTCGTGTATTTGTCATAAAATACTTTGTTTCTTTTTTGAGGTAATGGAACAAGTTTAAATGGAACAAGTTTAAATGTTCTAGAAAAATAGCACTGTGGTCACTGTGAGCTTGTTTAGATGGAGAGTTCTGGATCTCTTCAGTAAACCAGCTTGTGAACTTGTATTTCAGTCTAGAACTCAGTAATAAAGTCACTAGTCACTGTTCCAGTTCAACAAAAGCTCAAATCCTTCCTTTGCTCTCCAGCTACTTATTAGCTGAAACTGATACACCAGTTATCTCGGCAATTATATCTCTAATTATATCAATTCAATACAGAAACTGTTTACTAATCATCCCCCTTCTCATTTCTGATACCAAATTGTCACGGATTCCACGGACACTCTGAGGCTATCTTCTGCCAGGCCCATTCTTTCCAGGTGCTTATTGAGTCTGCAATGTCCTGTCACTTGAACTACCATTATCCTTACAACCATACGTCTGTGGCTTAGTTGGTCTGATGTGAAGTTGTGCAAGCAAGTTTTGATGATGAACTGCTTTGCCTGTCCTTGTTCTGGTGTTTGCAGATGTTCTTGATAGAGATGTTTTGAACAGGCATGCTGAGATTCCACAAAATTGTCGGTTGCTGAGCGTCCTGCTTCAATTGGAGGGCATGCCTTCCAGTATTTCCCATCCGGTATGGCGACCCGAAAGTGCATGCTGAAGATGAAAAAAGGAGTTATTTCATCTGAAGGAATCTAGTAAAAGGAGGCGACCTCTTTATCCTCCT